TAATAATAATAATAATAATAATAATAATAATAATAATAATAATAATAATAATAATAATACAGCTAAAATCATCCCACAATCTGGTTACATTGAGTACGTGAGTGCTACAAAAATTTTAAATGCACGGCCTGTTTCAAAATACATAATTGTCTAAAAGATGGAACAGTAATAACATAAAAAGGGGGAGAAGAGACTTCAAGGCCTACGAACGAAATCAACAACTAACTCGAAATCTCCAAGAAACTAGTGCTGGTGCAACTTACTAGCGATCACCTCTCTCGGCAGTACCTGGATTTACACATAGAGTGCAGAGTGTAGTATGAGTACAATCGACCCAATGTACTCAATAAGTAACAAGCCTAACCTTAGGCTGAAAGCAGTAATGCGCTCAGCAAGGTCCAATACTCATTTCCAACAACCAATTACAACAATAGCGGAATAATAATGGTAAAGACAAGTAGCTCAAGCAATATTAAATTCAACCTTTTCACAAATAGAAGGAATAAAGGCATGCTTTTCAAGAATTGTAATTAAGGCATAAATTCTTTCAAAAAAGTCATCTAGACATGGTTTCATCAACTTAACAGTGATTCCAAGTCCAAACATATTAAATAAAGACATCAAGTACCAATAAGCATGAGGAAAAAAAATACGTCCTGATACATACATGACAAGTAATCGTGCTAACAATGTCGCAGTTAAATCATCAAGTATGTCATAACTCAGCACATGTGTAGTCTCTGGAACAATTTTCCTTGGATCCTCACACTCAACAACAACAACACTCAGCAATGTACGGGTGCATGACACAAGTCCCTCACCCAATCACATTTATGACCTTGTGCCTATGCCTACGGTTAATACCTGACTCCGGAGGGGAGGGTCCTTGCCCAAGCACTAATCGGATCTAAGTCAACGATCAATATCACTTAGCCCAATATGGGGCTTGGTGCACGTGTCACCTTATAATCAATACTACTTATCCCAATGCGGGGCCTAGTATACTCATTACCTCATAATATGGAGGAAGTTCAGAGGTGACTTCCTCTCTAGTGGAAGTTTTCCAAACTTTTGAAACTTTAACAGACTTGAAAAAGGAAAATCTAATTTGTGATATTCAGCATAAGCTTCAAACCATTCAAAGAAATTAATTTGTTCTTTGATGAAGTTTAAAGGCTCATAATAAATATTTTGAAGATCTTTCTTTTGTCTCCTTGAAAATTTTGAAAAAAAAAACAAGTTCTTTTGAAAATATTTTCTTGTGAATAAAAATTTGCTCGAAATTTATCTTTATCAATTTAAAAATCCTTTTTAAAATACCTAATTCCACACCTAGGGATGAGTAAGTGGGAGATTGAGGTTGTTCATAATTAACTTCTGTTGGAGGGGCTGTTTTTACAGAATATTTGGCTTGTGAGATCCTGGAGTCAAAAATAAAAGTTTCGATCCTAGAAGGAAATGAAGATATTAAATGTCTAGCAGATTCAATTTCAGATTGTGCAGAAGAAAAGACAGAGACTCTTTAACTGAGGGATCTCTGGAAGAAAATGGATACAGATCCACTAGAATATTGTTGGATCTGAGAGACCATAGTATTTTGTGGCTTCTTAGCCTGAGTAGCATCTTGCAACAACCAGTTTTATGGTAGAGAAACTTGGCTCCAAGAAATGGGTAATGATATTGACAGATGAGATATTTGTAGATCTATTTGGAAGAGAATAGTTTCACCTTTATGGAGGGTTTTCATGGCTCCAGTTTTAAAGGCTGAACTCATGGCCTTATATTGTATTGTACTCTATAAATAATGACTACCGGAAGAAATCCAGTTTTGATTTTATAATTCGTTGTTTTGACATTGAGTGTCAGAGAATCTAAGATATTTCTATCTCTGAGAGACAATGTAAAATTAGAAAAACAATCAAAATTAATTGGACCACTACAAATGCTGGTTTCTACCATTCGTAGGAGGAAATTATTGAAGTCTAGAAATCTAGAATTTCTAAGACAGATGAGTAGATTCGTGTCTAGACCTTCTCTGGACATAGGTCTAAGATATATATATATATATGTTACGAGTGCAATAGAAAATACAGTGAAGAATTAAATTATTTTCAAGATTATATTTATCTGTAAAAATTAAGACATGAATTTACTTATGTACAAATTAGGAAGTCAATGAATGAAAGGCAGAGTTACAATAATTACTCAAACAAGCGTGTGGTTATTTATATGGGATAAATATCGATTTTCTTTATCATACGCTCTTTAATACAAAAATCGCCGATCATGGAATTTTTATAAGATATTTCTCACAAAATTCTCAAAAATACAATAAACCATATGAGGTCTTCCTTTATCAAGCTAGCAAAATAGGATAAATATTTATTATGTTTAGAGCTAAATATATAAATAAAAAAAAATTGTTTAAAAAAGTAAAAATTAGAAGGTAGGCAGCAAGCAAGTCAATGATTGGGTCCCAAAAGTATCAATTGGAGGAAGGAAAATGGAAGAAGATAGACTGATAGAGTGTAAACGAGCTGTCCTAAATCTTGCTTTCTTTTTCTTCTTCTGCAAATCTTGTGATACTTTCTGTATTAACAGTCAAACTAACGACACACAAAAAAGAAAAAAGAGAAAGAAGATCGGATTAATAAGAAACACACACTAAAGCTTCCTACTCCTCAAAACCCTAGATCTCTTTATTTTTTTATGGCTCTGGAAGAAGAAGATTCCCATAGTTCATCGTCTGCATCTCTCAGTTTAAATCAGGACTGTCCATTTGAATCCTCCTCTTCTTCTATTAATAATAATAATAATAATAATAATAATAATAATAATTCAAGCAAGCTTAACGCTCAGGCTCCTGCTTTCGTGCCCCGAATCTCGGCGCCGGGGCGGGTGTACGCCACGCGCCTTCATCAGATCAACGTTACCCACGTCGTCCCTGTAGTACAAAATCAGTTCATTTACGCGCCTCAGCAGTCTCCTCCGTCGCCCTACTATGGCGGTGTTGCTCGAGGGTTTGTTGATCAAGAGGTTGCTGCTGCTGATTCGAACAATTCTGCTAAGAATGGAGGGCTACCTGAAGAAGCTGCTCAGAAGATCGTCAATCAGGTATTCAAAAGTGTTAATTCTGTAATTAATACTCAAATACTTTTTTCTTGTTTATTGCAAATGAATAGTGGATTTGAAGACGTCTATTTTCATATTGCTGTTGAGTTATTACCTGTAATTTGATTCAACTAATCAAGTTGATTCCACAACTAGCGTATTTCTACTTATCAAAAAGATTAAAGGTTCCTTTTGGTGCAAACCTACTTTACAAAAGCTTGAAGAAGATAACCATCTGTTTGTTAGCGTTTTGGTGCAGACCTACTTTTGTAGATGATGTATATGACATATAAATCCGCTCAGTGCCTTGCACAATATGTAATGCTTCATCAGCATTTTCTTAGTGCTGTTTCTGAATCAATAAAATGATTACCCTTATCAAAAGAAAAAAATGTTTACCTTCTTACCACCCTTAAAAAAAGATCCATTGTACTATTTGACATTTTACTTAGGAACCTACTATGTATTGGTCTTGGTTGGTTGATGTGTGCCGCGGTAATGAACACAGGAAAGTCATCATAAATAATTTTATTGGAAATGGATTGTTGTGTTCTTAATTAGGGAGTATGTGAATCTTTTACCAATGGATATATGTCAATTTAGTGAATCAGAACTATGTGATGAAATTAAATACTATACTTCTGTCTTATCTGTTGATTTAAGAGGAAGTTTTAGTGTCGGAAAAGAAGTGTTTACTGGAGAGGACAAAAGCATGTGTTGATGAGTGAGAAAGATCAAAAATTTGCTGGAAGTTAGACTTAGAAGCTTTTCAAATTTGTTTGGGATAAGCTGCTTAAAAATAAATGCCTTGAAATTTTCAAAATTTTCATGTACTTGTAAAAAGCATGTCCAGACGTGAGGAAGAACCAACAGTTTTTTGGAATATATACTTGCAGCTTTTCAAATTTGTTTGGAAGGAACCGCTGGAAGCTTAAAATTATTCAATGGCATTTTTAAAATTTTCCAAATATTTGTGAAATTTGAAAAGCTATGATCAGCGTACTTCCTTTAACCATTAAAAAAAATTCTGAAAGCTATGAAAATCACTTTCTTTCTTTAATCAGCTAATTCAGGTATATTCTTTTTTTCTATAGGTGGAGTTCTACTTCAGTGATTTAAATTTGGCAACGACTGATAATTTGATAAGGCATATGATCAAGGATCCCGAAGGATATGGTGACTGTTCTTATTCCCGGCTTGACTAATCTTGTTTTGATTGATATTTGAAGTTAATACTTCTTCATGATCTTCCTTGTTTGTACTTTGTTACAGTACCAATATCTGTGGTTGCATCATTCAAGAAGATTAAAGCTCTAATAGGTAGTCATGCCCAGCTTGCCGAAGTTCTGCGGAGCTCAATAAATCTTGTCAGTTCTCTTTTCATCTCCTCATCATCCTCATCTCTCCCCCTCCACCATTAAAATCACTCTTTGTGCTTCCCCTGTGCAAGATCCTGCAGTCATTGCTATCTTGCAATTTTTTCCTTTCTGATGTTAATTTTCAAGATTTTCTTATTTGACATTTCTGCTTTTAGGTAGTTAGTGAAGATGGAAAGAAAGTTAAACGGCAAAATCCTCTGACTGAAGCTGCCCTAGAAGAGTTGCAAGTAAGTTTGTTTCCTATAGCAGTAGTGGTTTACAACAAGGACAATTTATGAATGCATGAAGCATTTCATTTTTCTATCTACTGGTTCATCTTTTCTGTCAGTAGGCTTTGTTTTTTTATTGGCTGGTTAATCTTTTGATCTGTTGCTCATTTTCATTTTTAGTCTCGCATAGTGGTTGCTGAGAATTTGCCTGAGGACCACTGCCACCAGAACCTCATGAAGATTTTTTCGGCGGTTGGAAGGTACACTTGTTTTGCTGTAGCTGAATCCAGAATAGGCTGAAAAATTTGGCCAACAAATATTCAGCCTTTTTAAGACTCTGCATAATGAATTGTGTCAGGGTAAAAATGATACGCACCTGCCACCCTCAGCCTTCAAATGGCGGGGCTTCTTCAGCATCTAGATCGGCAAAGTCAGACAGCACGTTGTATAGTAACAAGGTAAACATCAGATAGTTTGATTATCAATAAATAGTTTATGCACAAGTATGACATTGTGAAACTGCTGTCACCCGATACAAAGAAAAATGACATTTTGAAACTGCTTTCAGAATTGGAGTAAGAAATGATGGTAATGAGTTGTTGAAGTTCTGATTTGGGAGCTAAAATTAGATAATGTACACTGCTGGTACAAAGTAACTTACTATATCCACAAAAGAAATGCGAAGTAACTTACTCAACTGGAACCGACAAAATTTTTTACTGCTACCAAAAGAATCTCTTGAGAAGGAATAACATTTTCTGTCTATATTGGTATTTTAAAATACAGTTGGTTGTTACTAGAACTTGAATTTAATACCTCAATGCAGTTGCACGTATTTGTGGAGTACGAGTCTGTTGAGTTGGCTGAGAAGGCGGTAAGTGAATATTAGTGTATTTTTTTAGTTACACCTTGTGTATCTCTATCTCTGACATCCTTTTTCACTTTGCAACATGATTTTGCAGGTTCTTGAGCTAAATGATGTGGATAACTGGCGAAATGGTCTAAAAGTCCGTCTACTGCTTAGATGCACAGTAAGTCCTGATTATTCTTATCCCTGTTGATAAAAATTGAAACCACGTCCTAAAAGCAGCTTAGTTTCCAACTTGTCATTTATAGTGAAAGAAGAATGAGCTTTAACGAATGCTTAATCAGGCGTGTTTTAGCTTTCATATTTAGCTTGTATATCAGCTTAGTTTCAATTAAGGAAGATCGTTACAATCAATATTCTGGGCATTCAGGTTGCTACGGTCCATTATTGAATTCCAAGTAAGCTTGAGTTCTCCCTACTCATGAGTGTTAAGTGTCCCACATTGGTTGAGGGATTGGGCTGCTGTCTTCATATATGGTTTGCGCAATCATCACCTCATGAGTTTGGTCTAAGGTCCATTTCCTTTACATGGTAGAAGATCCAAACTCATTCCTATTTCTTGATTTACCCAATGTTGGACCCCGATGCTATATTGTCACACATTGGTTGAGGGAATGGGTTGTCTCCTTTATGGTCTTGGACAATCCTCACCCCATGGCTTAACTTTTGGGGATGAGTGAGGCACCAAATCCATTTTTTTTTTACACTGAGGTTACAGGGCTCAACTCCCTTTTTATGAGGGTACATGGTTTAGTTTATGGATAGATGCATTTAGGATAACTGAAGAGTTCCATGACACTCAAAAAGATAGAGCATCTGGCTCCACGTATAGGAAGGTTCAAAGGGAGCCCCTTTTCTTAACATAAAATGTGTTTGTATTCTGCAATTCTGATCTGCTCAGTACTTATGCATTTTGATTAAATCGTACAGGCTAAATCTGGTCAAGCCCAAGAGAAGAAGGTTGGTCATGAAAGTGGGCTCAACTTCAAGGAAGACGATGATTTTGCATCAGAATTAAATGAGAAACATGAAGAAGAATCTCCGTGCCATTCTGACGTGCAGTCAAATGACATTGCAGTAAGTGGTGTTTGCATGTTTTAAATTAACATGGAGATATTTCTGCTTACTTTCTTTTAGAAACTGCATCAGAAAAATCATACAGATATAGGTCTCCTAAAAGACATGACACTTCTTTCAAGGATGTAGTGGATGATTCTTCAGTTTATGTTATTGGTGACTTCATTTAAAATTCACTTGGACAGGATAAGCATGGCAGCAATGGGAAGAGGAAAGGGCACAATCGTGGTCGGGGTAAGGGACAAGGACCAGGCCCAGGACAGACGCGGGGCCGGGGACGTGGACCTGCCCAGTTTCAACAAAACAATCGTGGAGGCCGTACAGGGGCTTCCACAACAAATTTGAATCGTGGAAGCAATGTGGCTAGTGCCCCCTCCAATACTAATGGTGTTAGTATAGCAGGGCAGCCNGGGGGGGGGGGGGTTGATGTTCCTTCTTTCTTTGCAGTATTGATTGCAGGGTTTTAAAGACTGCTGTCAATCCAGTGAAGATGATACATCGGTTGATTTAGCAGCAAAAGAGTCGAGACACGAGATCTGTTATTTGTTGTTAAACCAAAAAGGCTGTGCTGTGATTTTGTTTTGGAACACTGAACCTGAGATATTAACTTAAAGCTATACAAAATTGGTAAGATTTCTTCTGTTGAAGGTTTGTCTAACTCTAATGTGGATTGGATAACATGCTGGAAGGAGGCCGTCTGTATAGTCTACACTCTACAGTAGGAGGGAGCATTATAAAGTTGCAATTGTGAGGTACCCGTTACAAGGATAAATCACTCCGTTCCTTCTTTCATTAGTGAAAAATCCTTTTTCTTCCCTTCTTTTTGCGCAATACTTCTTTGAACTCTGGCAGTAGTGAAACTCGTATATCTTAGACATGGAGTCGTAAATTAGCATATGTTACTTGCATCACACGAGTACTAATTCAATTAAAGTTAAAACTTCTGTCAGTCAGAAACCTTGAAGAGTTAATAGAAAAATGTTCTCCAAATGTATGTTTTACGCACGACAATTAGAATATCTTCTTAAATCTAGAACCCCATTCTGATATACGCAATAAGTTCCATTTTCTTGTGATGATCTGAGCAATCATGTGATATAAAACTTGAAGTCATTCTTGTTGGACAAAATCTATCATTTTCACTTGCTTAAACACTACACATCTGATGTAGCATCTGATCCCATTCTCTTCTTTGTAATGAATCTGGCATCTAAAGATGCGACTTCTGATTTTGGGGTAAAGAGGCGCAAAAATGACTTCAGAAGGCTAGCTGCCACAAACCCATTACTTCAGGAGAGTTAAAGTAAAAATCAACCCCAACCTATAGGCAACAGTCTTCACCATTTATTAGGTTTTAGTTATGACTAAATCTGGAGATGACAGCATATACATAATACTTAAACTTGAACCCGTAATTGTTTATAAAGAGAAAAATGTTACCATTATCCTCTGAACTTAAGCATACAAGATATATGAGACCTTTTTATTTAAAAGAGACACAATGATGACAATGTTGGGTTCTACAGATCACTTTACACAAAGGGCTTAGAAGCAGATAATTAAGTTTGTTACAACAATCGTGGAGATTGGCATAGAAGCAATAAACAGTAAGAAATTCTTAGCATGAAGGCAATCTTGCTATCACCTTCTGAAAAAATGTCATGTTTCAAGCACACTGAGTTGCAAACATACAAGGAACTGTGCAGCTGAAGGAGATATGTTGAAAACTAACAGATTCTCCTAAGAATTGATGAGTCGTTCCATGACCAATTTGAGAACCTTAGGAGCATCAACAGTTACTGCCACTTTTACTGAGGGTTTATCACACCATTCAGTGACTTCACCAAACCTTGTGTCCAACAGAAAATATAATAAGTACACAGTAATCATATATCCCTCAATTCCAAACTTTATAAGTTCAGAGATATGATAAATTTCCTAAAGCATCAAAGGAAGAGCAAAAGAATTGTGCATGGAGTATTTTAGTCATTCGAAACACAGATGTTGAAGTTCTTGAACCCAGAAGCCTAACTGAAAAGGACAACAAAAAGGTCTAGCTTCAGTAAGAATGGAAAGGCGGTTGCAAAAGAGATTTTGTGCTTGATAACAACTTTCTCTCCTCCACAAGCCCTTGTTATTATCCAACCATATACGTCAAAAGAGGCCAATAGATGTACAGAAATCATTTCAACCTACACCCAATTTCCTCCTAGAACACAACAGTCATTTGACACAAAGGACGGTTCGCATTCTTCCTTTTCTGAAAGGATACCTAAAAGTGACATAGATATTCCCTCTTTTTTAAAGGAAAAATAAATAAAAGTAATAGTTGCTCAATAAGATTTTCTACTTCAGTTTTCTCTCATGTGATAACAATTTAATATTGGTGTCTTACTTTACATTAACATTAAGGGAGGATCTTGCCATGTTATCCCCATCACTACCAGGATAGATCATCGCAATTGAGTAAAAAATAAAAGAATAACGTGATGTAGTGAAAGTAGGATTACATCTTTCCTTTAGTGAACGTGTCGGACCACACGGGGGCAGTGGGGCTGTTAAAGAAAATGGAAGGCAGAAAGATCTAGCAAGGGGGACCACAAAAAAGAAAATAAAAGAAGATTATTCACTCTCTCGCTCCACCACCTCCTTGGCAAAAAGCACTAAGAATGTAACTTATTCAGATTTTACTTCTTGTCTAATCATTCGTCTCGACAACACTTTCCTGCAAATACTGTATTCTGTTTTTAGTTTTTGCTGCTCCAGCCTGATTGACAATCCAGAGGATGGGAATCTATTCAAGGGGATCGCCATGCTTCTTTCTTGTGAGGATGGTCATTCAGACATTGAGTCAATATCTCCAGAGGCGGACCTAGTGTTAAAGCAGTGGGTTCGTTCGGCTCCAACCTTGTATACATATGTGAAATCTGATAGAATTGGCTCCTCAGGCCAGTTAAAACTCCGAACTCATCCAACTCTATATCTTGGATCTGCCCCTGAATATTTCCTAGACTGGGTTCATGGAACTACGGCAGGCCTGAGGATCAAATTTTGGAGGGCCAACATGGCGAGGGTTGAGGAGGTTTTCCTTTCCCGTTGTCTCTTCACTGAAGGAAGTTGAAACCTCAAAGTACTATCCTATACTGTTATTTGAAGATGGCAAGTGGATTGGTCCAGCTGGAATTGTTAGCCAAAGATAGAACCATATAATAATGATGATGGTAGCAATCTAGCGAATAGGAACTGTACCCAACCACCCTTTTGTTGGGCAACATCACGTGGTGCACGGAAGAGAAGCCGGTATTGGGAAAAAAAAAGTGAGGAGATACATTCCATCTTCTGAAACAATTTCAACAGCTTACCTCTTTTGTTTATTATAAAATAGAGTGAGACCTCTTGTGATGCCAATTGTCTGGACACGAACCGCACCTTCTGTATAGGTGATTAGTGAGGGATCAACAGCAGCAAGCAGGGCAGTCGGATCGTGAAGATAAACACCTATGTGGAGTCCCAGTAACCGTAAAATCAGAACAATGAGCATGCACCAATCAGTGTACTAAGAAAGCTAGTTTGGCAAGAGACTGACCTTTTGTGCTGTATGCATCATGGTGATAACCAAAATAGACACCCAAAATCTTGTCAAGGTACTTGGCAAACTTTCCGTTAGACTTCGCCAACTCATTGCGATCAGAATCTGACAAAAGTAAATATATAAAAATAAGAAGGATAATGTGTGGGAAGTAGGGAGGCAATGGCGCAGTGAGGGTGGGGCGGGTTTAGACATATGCTGGGTGGGTTTAAACATATGCAAGTGTGGGGCGGTGCAGGTCGAACTAAAAAAATTTAATTATGTGTGGTTGCGGGTTTCAAAATTTCAGCGAAGAAGGAAAATCATTGTTCTGCCTTTCTGGAGATGATATTGATTCCACCTAATATAATGAAGCAAAATAAGAGTTCCATAAGGTTCCGATTCCAGCAAGAGCCCAAAGGGTGAGGCGAGAAGATCTTGATCGAAAGCTCCACTATTCTGAATAGTGAGAAAGACTTTTTGAAATTCGATCAAATCGGAGGAACTGCGAGGAGCCAACCCTAGTACAAGAGGACGGGGTTGGGCTACCATAGAATGTTCCTGCAAATTATGACCTTTGCCTGGAATGTGAGCAAATATATCATGTCGATTGCTCAACCGTAGTTTGGCTATCTTGCGTGGAGTATGTTTGAAACAACTGCTTGCACGTCAGATTCTCATTCTCTGATGACAAGTTCTGAAAATTTAATATCTAACACATAATTCTCAATTAATTATAAATCTGTTTTTTTAATCAAAGTATCTTATCTTCTTCTTTCCTTAGCTGACGCCTCCCGTAATCTTCAAAATTAATAAAAACTATGAGAGTATATAGCAAAATGTATGAAAAATTCCAGCCAAAAGATAAAAAGGAAATAAAACAAAATGAAAGAAAAAAACACTTAAAGGGAGCAGGGCGGGTGAACACGGGTGAAACTGCTATGCAAGGCGGGGCGGGTTGAAATTTTGTGGGTGAAGACAAAACCCGCACCGCACCCACACCGCTTGCCATCCCTAGTGGGAAGCTAAAGAAAACAGTCTGGAGGAGCTCAACTTGAGCATCTTTGTTAAAGAAAGGAAAAAAAAGAAGAAAGTCAAAAGAAATTTAGATCTAGTAGAATAAAACATTTCCTCTAAGTTTGGTTACTTTAAGTGGAAAAAGCTAGTTATATATTCACCAAGTAACCAAGTAATAATTTCAACATTTAAGTGAGAAACTGTTAGTTTCCTGACGGTTATTGGCCTAAATAACAAATTGATTTCTTGCCCTTAAGAATGAAGAAGCCATTATAAATCATTTGAGCTTCTGCTAAGCAAAGAATAAAAGCTAAAAGATAAAAGATAAGCCATTATAAGTTGAACATTGAGCCGCCAGTAAAATCTGCTAAGCCAAGAATAAAAGATAAAAGCACAGGTTTTAATCTCCAGCTAAATTTGGGTTATCCAAGGAACTCTAGAAACCAAATTTCTTAATTTTTCTTCGCCGAAGCATAGGGGAAGGTGGAGATCAGTTTATGCCCAATGGATTTGATGGGTAAAAGAGCTTGTTATACAGAACATGTAGCTTTATTTCATCAAAGATCCAAGGATATGCACTTGCATATTATTTAGCTAATGTTCAAGGATATTCCAAGAGACATGCAGGGATAAAAGTTCTTCTAAAGTTTCTCTACTCGTTCTTTAATGCATAATCCTCCTATATTACTTTCTCCTATCACCAAATATTTGAAATATCTATCATTTTCTATTTGCTGAATGCTGACATTTAATGATGTTACAATAAGACATGGAAAGGAATTTATTTGAAGCTCGTTCTCAAGTGTCTATTTTCCTGCATCCGTGTTACTATCTCCCTGTAACCAAATATCTTGAATAATTAAATACAGAGGTGAAAAATGAAAACCTCTAGTTTGGTTTGCACAATATTTAGGAACTGACATGAGGATGGTCCAGAATACGTAACCCATTCTTTAAAGTCAGTTGGAATTGTCAAAAAGATCAACACTATTGACACAACAGTTTGAATCTAGGAAATGTAAAAGGAACAGAATATGGTACTGTAAGAGGAAAAAAATAGTTGAAAGTACCATAGCAATCAAGAAAATACCAGTAAGGATAACTTGATGTGTGACATTAATTCCAACTGCCAGAACGTCAGCGCCGCTAGTAAAAACAATATCAGCAGCATCTGGATCTCCAAAGATCTTGTGCAGATGAGCAACAAATGGAAAAATAACTTAGAGAATACGCCTGAAAACTAAAGCATGATTTTGGATGTATCTGTTAACAACTTACATTCGCTTCTGCAGCTGGATTCGCATTTCCATTTACAGCAAAGGAACCACCGAGAACAACAATTTGTCTAATGTTTTTAACAAATGCAGGATCTGATTGAATGGCCTGTTTCAATATGCCAAACTGGTGAACAGTGTTTCTATTAGGTTATTATCTAATATTCAGTTGGAAGATTATATACTTACTAGTGCTATATTTGTAAGGGGACCCAAGGCTACTACAATAACCTTTCCAGGGTATAGACTTGCTTGTTGGATGAGAAATTCAGCAGCATTCTGGTCGATAGGCTTTCCATTTGGTGCAGGAAAGTTTTGGTTCCCAAGTCCATCCGTGCCATGAACAAAATCAGCAATTCGAAGTTTTGTACCTTTCTTTAGATGAATTAAACAAAGTAAGCAGAAACCCATTCATAAGGACAAAAACATTTTTAGGTTTGCTGCCTATTCTGCTAAATGAACAAGTAATCAGAAGAAAAGCACATTAAAGTTTGGAAGAAGGAAATGCTATGGTACACCATATAAGAATTCTAAAATAATAATCACCTTCCAAGACCGATATTGCAATTGATTTTTTTTTTCCATAGGGCACAAAATGGATGAAACTAAAAGAAGAAGCTCCAGCATACACTTTCGGTTTCTTATATTGTAATTCTTATCTATGCCTTATTCTGTAGATATGTTTGCTGCTAGGTCAGATAAGTAGGATATTTATTTTAAAAAATTATGCTTTTTCAGAAAGCAGTTTGCTCTATGCCACAACCCTAAGAGAACATCTTGATTTCCACTTGTTATATGGAGCAAGATCACTATTGGCAGAGGGGAATACAACGCAACCCATAAAGTTTAGGACAGATCCTATATATAGATATGAAAAAACAGTTTAAATGACAACAAAAATCAAATTGAAATCATTGCTCAAGAGGATGGGGAATGGCAACAGGCTTGGGAGCATGGGTTGTCCATTGAGGAGATACATGTTCTAATCTATGTGGCAATGTTTTCATTTATATATTTTGTCCTTGCTGTTAGACAATATTTCCTAGTGGAGATACAAGTTTTCCTATTGAGAATAGAAAGAATATGTAAGGTGCAATTCTCTAGCTAGCGTGGTACACGTTGCTTCTGCCCCCTTCAGCAAAACATCTCCAAATTCCATTCACTAATAGTTTGGGTGGTTTTGGCCTCCTTATAGTTTTGAACCACATGCAGATAGTATAAGGGAGTTTTGATGTTAAAGTTAAACCCGGGTTCCAGACGAAATAGTTACCATAACCCATAATATCAAATAATGCGCCATTAATCCTAGAGCAGTGTACATGAAAAACAATAATTGGATGCATTTACTTATTTGTTCGAGTAGGATGTTATCCATACTATTTAATTCCAGAGGTGTTAATCCCCCAACTATACCGCTAGATATGTCTGGCTAACCTAACATATATTAACACTTCAACAGCCTAGAGTACCCCAAGGCCAAAATTGTTTCTACTTAAACCTAAATCTATTGCTTAAGGAAATTATCCCAGAAGTCAATCTCGGTAGCCTTGGTGAAAAAGCTATAAGAAAAGAAGAAAAAGATGTAAGATGCAAATATGCATGCAGTCAAAATGCCAGCAAATAATGGGTGCATTTATTATTTACTCATAAGTTGATCAATTGACCATTACACAAATGGGACAGGTTCAAAGTTGACCTCTTATATTAAACATTTGTCAGCTGGTTACCAATAGCTGCCAAAAATCAAAATAGGAGGTTAGCCTCGTGCTCAATACCTCGTCTTTCTCATCCACTTCAGCTGTCACTATGCTACCATCCATGCTTCTTCAAACGACAATGCTCTTCTTCCTCTTCTTCACAATACTTAGTGCTATGGTTTCTATAATAGCACTACTATTTAGTTAATTTCGCCCTCTCAAATAAATGTAAAACAAGTAGTCAGTTTCTTTCTAATAGGCATGTTGACCTGCTGCCTGCTTATTCCCTCTTCTATATAGTAGTAATTAAATATTTTGCGAGATTTGTTTAAAATGTGTTATTACTATACTTTTTTAAAACTTACATAATTGTTTATTATGTAATGGTAAAGTAAAAGGTTCTCCTATATGTCAAGAAATTTGAAGTCACTATCCTATAACCCCGAGACCTGAACCCATAAGCTTTAAATTATAGATCCACGTTTGACTATTGGCGCATGGAGGAAGCTCTTGAAACTTACCTCATATGCTTGACGTATGGAGGAAGCATCTTGAAGCATAACTGACAAGCTTGCTAAGCAAGAGTTCCCTTGATACACCAATGTTCTTTCATCAAATTATGTTGTGACCATTCTTATGCTCTTTTATCAAAAACAAACTCATATAATATATATTTAAATATTTGAAAACCTATTTTCCATATAAATGTCAATGACTTATTTCTCTTTTATTCCATAACTTGTGTTTGCTCCTCCCAATAAAAAACTCGCCCATGTCCATCAAATGGTATGACAATATAGAACTAATTAAGTGATGTTATGTACAAACTGGATTACAACTAGGCTTTAGACTGCCGCAGAAGCGCTTTGCTAAATAGTTAATCCTATGTGGCATAAGAACAACAAAGTGATGAAAACTAATGAACATAAAAGATTACCGAAGAAAAGAGACACAAGTATTTAATACAGCTCAGCAAAAGTATGCTTACATCCACGAAGAGACAAATAATTACTATATATAGTCCATATGGCTGGAGGGAAGTGCAAGTTGCTTTGACCAAAAAGCAATTTTTTTTTTTTATAGAAGACCAGAAAGCAAAAAGTAGTGATCCTTTGATTAAGCAAACGATAAGCATAGCAAGAGACTGAAAGACACTTCACTATTTTGTGCATCCCTTAACAGATTTTCGCTACCAGCATGGAACAACCCTTTTTTCACGCAATGATACTGTGTGTGTCATACTTTTTCATTGTTCATCTGTCTCCCTGTTCTCTTTAATCATCTTGACTATGCTTACAATCCTAACTATTGAGGGTTTCTTATACCTTAGACTTTAAGGTCGCTAGACAGTACCTACTCAAATCCGTTGCTAATTCCAACAATCCTGGAAAGGTCATTCACCCTTCTTTTTTTCTGAAGAAGCAGAAGAAGGTAGCAGCTTTCATATATGTTAAAGAGTAGTTATCAACACAATCTTTGTGCTGAGAGAGACAAGCATAGTTACAAGACTCCCAAAAAAATAAAACCAAAAAGCTAGTCTTGTGACAGTTACAAGGACCCAATGAAATCAACTAAAGATTCTACATCATGTACTAAAGCTTCTTTACACCAAAACTGAAACAAAAATGTATAATTCATCTTGATCTTTTTGTTCAGAATTTGTTGAGTCTTCAAAACATCTAGGGTTCATTTTCCTCCAACCTTACTGTTAAGAAAATAGACTTTCGGTCTAACTCAGCCCAAAAGTTAGCTCATGAGGTGAGGGTTGCACAAGACTATATGAGGAGACGACAGTTCATTCCCTCAACAATGTGGGACAACTTAACGCACACCCTTCCACATGCCGAGACCTAGTTAATTGGAGCGTGGACAACATAGCATAAGGGGGCCCAAAATTTTGGTAAAAAAGAATTGGGATGGTTATGGCTCTGATACCATATTAAGAAAATGGACTTTAGGTCTAACTCAACTTCAAAAGTTAGCTTATGAGGTGAGAGTTGCACAAGATAACATAAGGAGACAACAGCTCATGTCCTCAACCAGTGTGGGACAACTAAACACTTACACAACTATAGGAAAGTATAGATGTCATCAAATAAGCGGGTAACCAAACTCCACTTACACTCATTCCTTCTTTGAGCTTTGGTCCTAGAACTGAAACTTTAGAAAGGACCAGTATATAACAATCTTTTATTTCTTTTTCTTCTCTGAACCACTTTCTTGTCTCCGGTCCCATGATAAACAAGGTGGACGTCTTTGCTTTCACCATTTCTTTTATGGGACAGGGTANGGAGAGGACAGTGTATGTACCAACACAAGTCTATCTACTATGGATCGTCATAACAAAACCAAAAATGAAAAACGCAACAGTAGCGCCAAATACTTGAGTCCCCTTTAACAAGTAAATTTGAGTGATCTTATAAGACAGTGAATTACAAAAAAACAATAAATAAAACCTTAAAGTAAGTAACAGCAAGTTAAAATGAGCAACAGAACAGAATTGAATGGAGAGATCAAGATTACATACAGTGATTGTAACATGAGAGCCTTCAGCCACTGGAATATCTGTCCTTCCAGCTACGTCCAGCTGAATCATTAAGATCCTAAATCAATAACTGTGATTATAGGTACAGTTAAAAAAATAGCATACACCACTACACGATAGCCAAACCATGGAGCAAATCTTAGTCAAATGTCCTTAAGCTTTTATAATTTATACTTACAACAAAAAGAATAAAAGGCAGAGAAGTTGCAACAATTATTCAACAAGTCATGGGAAGTTACCAGATGTAAAGCATTTCTAGTAGCTAGAGATGTGTAGACATTTCCATATATAGTAGTAAGCCCGATGACCTCGATTTCAGGAGATTGCAATGCCACAAATATCGCCATTGCATCATCTGATCATATTCATCCATAATAGCTCTCAATTAACCACAATATATTGGAAAAATCAATCTTGGAAAGCTCAAGTCTTTCTATATTTAAAAACAATTTAACTTTAAGTCAAACACTGAAGTTTCTAAAAGTCTAGAGAAAACGAAACCCAGATAAATCTTGGGAAATTCCATTATAGTAAAGTAAAAATATTGGGATTTTCTTGAGGTATATTTTTTGACATATGATATGTGTGTGAATAGAGGAAAGGGAAGATACCAATGCCAGGATCAGTGTCAATGATGATCTTCTTGGCTTCTGTTGCCATTTGACACAAATGAATCTGAAAATTGAACGTTAATAGGATTGGGGATTGGACGCCGCAATCCTATGAAGAGCAAATTGAAGATTGATATGCCACCGGAATTCCCAGATACGATGAATTTTAATTACTAGTAGCTCTTAAAATAAGTTAGATAGTGTGTCATTGTGGTATATGATTTGACTCAATAATGGCACACTTTAATTAAAACTAATCCGTTGGGCAGAGTTGGGAGAATTCGGTTTCGTCTAGAGTTGGGAGTCACTCTTGCATAAGGGATAGTTCACTTTTGTGGAAAGAAATTTTGCTCTTCTATTGCTATTTGGCATGTTTCCTTTTCTTGGGTGAATTGTTGTTAAAGATGAAATGGAATTGGTGATAATTTCTAAAGATGTTTGGTCTGGGAACTAAGTTACAACAACAACAAACTCAGTGTAGTCCCACGAATGGAATCTGGGGAGGTTAGAGTGTACCCACATCTCACCCCTACCTATCTTTAAGGAGAAAGGTTGTTTCCGGTAGACCCTCGGCTCAGGGAGGAAAAAGAGAAAGGGCAACAACAAGCAAACCAATCTGACAAACAAAGCGAAAATACAACACTTACACTAAGTAATGCACACGGAACCAAAACAAGGCAGCAATAAAAAATAACAGCATTCTAGGGATAAAAGAAAACCCCAAGGACGCTAAGAGATGTATCAAAGCTACTGTGACAAACAAGGACAACACTCGGCTTCCTAATCCTTTACCTTTATTCTCGACCTCCACCCTTTCTATCCATGTCATGTCCTCAGTCAGCTGGAGCAACACCATATCTCGCATAATCACCTCACCCTCAATACTTCTTCGGCCTGCCTCTACGTCTCTGTTGGCCCTCCAACGCCAGCCTCTCACACCTCCTCATCGGAGCATCAGTCCCGAACCATCTAAGTCTCGCCTCCCGTATCTTATCCTCCACAAGGGACACACCGACCTTGTCCCAAATAACTTCATTTTTAATTCTATCCAACTTGGTATGTCCGCATATCCATCTCAACATCCTCATTTCAGCCACCTTCATCTTCTATCTAGAAACTAAGTTACGGTTAAATATTCTTATATAATAATAGTATTTTCCTATAAAAGTCAAGTTTTTCTCGAAATTGATTTTGATGTTGTATTTTATCTCTCTATAATATTTTTTAACTTATAATAGTAGCATTCATCTTTATTACAGTACGCTCTTATAAAATTACCCCTCTATAACAGTTATAAATAATCTTTAAGACTGACGATAGTAAATCTAGAGATTTTGACCAAATATTTCAAAAATATAATGCACCACTTATGATAAACAATATTATGTTTGTACATACTTCTATAATTGAAAATTCTTAGTATATTTTCATTTTGTTGTGCATAACGTCTAATATTTGAATACCAGCACATACCTTTTCAATGGAGAAAGTTTCTCATTGTGCGTAATATTTACGATTTGAAGATCTGCGCATAGCTTTTTTATTAGACAAAGTATTCATCGTGCATAAGTTTAATATTTGAAGAATACTCACTAAAGTTTAAGTTTTTCATTGGACTCAATATTTCTTGTAATGTATAAACGTATTTATGTGAGGCATATTGATTTCTTGATTAGCATAATTCATGTCATATGGTGTTTGAATGTCAAGCTACTCCTTTGTACCAAACAAAGATAATTTTCATATCGTTTATATATAACATTAAAAAATAAATAATTTCTTTTTTTTGGATATTTTTGTCTATAACAACCAAATAATTTTTAAACATCAGCTATTATAGGTGCATAATAGTCATTCACTACAAATAGCCACTCACTACAAAAACCAAAAAATAATAGAACAAATAAAATTGTTATAGAGAAATTTAATTGTATATCAGAATAATAATATTAGGATTATAATGTGGGATTAAATAATAACAAACTTATTTCATGGAAATATCTTTTTTATAATCGCAACCAACATCATTAAAAGTCAAAATTAGGATTCATTTATAATGCTTTCAAAATACTTTCTCAACTCATACATAATAATAAAATGCTAAATTATACTTCATAAATAAGTTCAAAGTAGTAGGAATTATCTTTAGAAGCAAATTGTCACGACCCAAAATTCCAACCTATCGTGATGACGCTTAACACACTTGCTAGATAAGCCGACAATCAGATAACAGCTAAACATTTGAATAAAACATGTTTTAATAAATTCAACAACGGAAAATCTCATAAATATCTGAAACAAATAACTGAAATGCTACTACAATCACCCCAAAATCTTGTGTCAATAAGTACATGAGCACTACTAAGTATCAACATAACCAAAACTCTAGTACAATTGTCTGAGTAATAGAACATAACTGAAGAAAATAAAAGGAAGGAGAGTCAAGATCAGCGGGCGTCATACCAGCTACCTCAAAGTCTCCGAGCAAGTACTAGCACGGATCTAGCAATCACCTCGTCCAAATGTACTTGGATCTGCACAAGCAGAGTGTACTATGAGTACAACCGACTCTATGTACTCAATAAGTAGGGCTGAAAGCATTGACAAGCTTAAAAAGACACAATCAGAACCAATATAATGACAGCACAAGTATAATAGCTACAATGACAATAAATACTCAGAGAAATTTCCAAATTAGCTTGTTCATAGTATAGATATTTAAACATGTTTTCAAGTTCTCAATTAAAGACCAACACTAATAAGAACATGTCAAGTATAGCTAGCATGAGATATGGTAAATCTTTATGCCTGCATGTCAAATGTATGATCTCACAGTGATACCTAGGTACTCACACTCTCAGAGTACTCAATCTTTCTACCAAATGCCCACACAATCCATACACAATCACTCAGCACTGTATGGGTGTCTGGCACCAATGCCCTTCACCAAAGCATGTGTATAGATATATCATTGTACTTACGCTCACTATTGGTATGTCAGACTCCGGACGCGTGGATCCAGCCCAAACGCTAATATAAAGTCTATAAGGCCTGTTGCAGCGTGCAGCCCGATCCACAATAATAAATAAGTCAATAAACCGTAAAAGATCCATGCCTAAGCAGTAAAAGATCAACCCTCGTCTCCAATACCCCAATAGTCACTAAACACGACTGATACACACAGTCCACAATAATAGAATTACTCATCGGCATAGATATATGAACAAGCATAACTAAAGAATCACGGGGCATATCTAAATAACGAGCAAAGTACGATAGTACATATGAATAAGTGGAACCAGGGTCAAATAATATGGAAGCATCCCTGTGGCACACTAAAACAATACATGTGATCACTACGTCTAAGGAAACTGCCTCTGTCTTGGCGGGAAAAACATAGCATCGAGCCTGACCACCACGTGATCGACCTCCCCCTCTAGGGCAACCTCGAACTGCCTGAGTCCCACCCCAAGTTGGCTGAGCGGGTGGTGAAGTAATTGGTGTAGAACTCATATCCTAACCTCCCTGCTGACCTAGGCCTCCGATAAGACGGGGGCAATACGTCCTCACATGCCCCAACTCTCTACACTCGAATAACCTCAATCCAAAGATGGTGGTGGGGACTGAACTGGATCCCGAGAACCAGAATATCCACTAGAAGAACATAGTACAAACGAACCCTAAACTGATGGAGCATGGGATGAACTTTGATCTAAGAGAGCATTGAAAGATGACTGACCCGAACAAGCAGTGTATGAACCATGACTAGCTGATGCACCATGATGAACTGGACGAGCCATCTGAGTGGGTGTATAAGGATTACCTCAGTTGTGATGTGACTGACCTCCATATGAGGTACCACTGGAACTACCTGAAAGACGGGGCCTCTTTCCCTCTCACTCGTCATGCTCTAGCTTGCTAACCAACTCCAAACGCCTAGCAATATTGACCACCTGATAAAACCTAATGTTTGTCTCGGCCTCTCGAGCCAAACTAAAGCGTAAGCCATAGTTGAGGCCATCAATGAACCTTATAATACTCCCTCTCTCTCTATATATATAGGAACCTACCACACTTCATGACGAGCCAGATATGCAAACCTCATATCATACTGAGTCACTATCATACCCTCCTAACGTAGCTACTCAAACTGCCTGCGCAACTCCTCTCTACGAGTATGTGGAACAAACTTCTTTGAAGATAACTGAGAACTCATGCCACGTAAGTGGTGCAGTGCCGACTGGCCTGCTCAACTCATAGGCCTCCAACCATCTGTAGGCTGCCTCTGTCAGCTGAAATGTAGTGAATTCAAAGATACCCGTTGTGCGAAGGATCCGCTGGCACCTTTCTATAAAAATCCTGAGCATCCTTTGACTCTGCCCCACTAAACTCTAAAGGCTTGAGCCTCCTAAACCACTCTAGTCTCTTCTTCTCCTCATCACTCATAAGTGGGCCAACCTGGGCCTGAACAACAGCAACCAATTGGGCTGGTAGTACCCTAGGTGTCTGGAGTCCCTGAGCTACCTGCTCTGGAGTATGGGCAGTGGGAGGATAAGCACCTCCCCCGGCCTGTGAAGTGGCTAGTGCAGCTGGAACTGAGACTACCTGAGCCAAGCTCGTGCACACAGTGAAAATATGGGCTTAGGCTTCCATAAGGCCTGAGATCACAGTGAACAGCTAGTGCCTGAGCTGGTCCAATTGGCTCAACAACATCTGGTATTTGCTCCTCAGCTGGAGCAGTTGGTGGCTCCACAGGTACTGCTCTAGCTGTAGTACGAGCCGCACCTAGGCCTATGCCACAGCCCCGGCCTCTCGTGGCCCTAGCTGGTAGTACTGGTGGTCGTCTGCCTGATCCGGTCATACATGTCCTCACCATCTATGAGAGAATAGAAGAGTTAAAGTTCAAATTTCGGAATTAACAAATCTGCACAACAAGAATACAAGAAAGTGAAGTTTTCTAACGGTTCGGTAGCCTCTGGCAAATAAGTACAGACGTGTCCTTACCGATCCACAAGACTCTACTAAACTTGCACATGATTCATGAGACCTAAGTAGCCTAGTGCTCTGATACCAACTTCTCACGACCCAAAATCCCAACCTGTTGTAATGGTGCCTAACACACTTTCTAGGCAAGCCGACAATCGCATAACATCTGAACATTTGAATAAAACATGTTTTAATAAACTCAATAATAGAAAGTCTCATAAATATCTAAAACAAATAACTGAAATGCTTCTACAACCACCCAAAATCTGGTGTCAACGAATACATGAGCACTACTAACTATCAACATAACCAAAACTCTAGTACAATTGTCTGAGTAATAGAACAGTACCAAAGAAAATAAAAGGAAGGAGAGT